TTGCTAAATAAATAAAAACATAAAAAATTGCAAAAACGTATAGATCTGCACATTTTAGAGAAAGGAACCGTGAAGAGTTAAATCTCTAAATCGTTATTTTGAGGAAATTCTGATTGAAAAAGCTTCTAAATATGTAACTTTGATGCACATAATGACTTTTTAGGGGTTTAATTAATGCAGAGAGGGATTTTAAAATACTTTATTTAGGTAAAAGTACCACTATTATCATCTAAAACAATCATCAAATCTATTAAATTAAATGTATAAAGTGTTGTATAAAGTATTACCAGCACGATCCACGTAGTAACTCTGCAGAAAAGTGGCTCCTGTTAGTCAGAAGTGGAGGAAATATTAATTTACTGAGTAAAAGCATCAATAGCACACTGTAAAAATATGCAAAAGTCCTTTATGTAACATTTCTGCAAGAAAATGATCCTGAATGTTCATCAGTCCAACGTCATATCATTACAGTAACGATGTCACATCTGTACATGTCCATGAGTAAATCCATCATACCTTGTTGACTGATTCTACGAGACATTTATCATTAGATCTCTTTTGTTTTTAGCCTTATTGTGCTTCTATTTGCATCCAGCTGCTGTAACGTGTGCATTTCTTTGGTGAGGAATAAATAATGTCTTGAAAGTAGCACTTTACTGAGAAGAAGTTCATATTTTATACAGAAATAAATGTTAAATTTGAAATAACTAGCAAGCACAGTGATAAGTGAGGAATGCATTCATGCTAGCTCAGAGCTAATTTAAATTAATTTAGGTTGTTTTAATCCAGCAGCTCGTAATTTATCACAAATTTCAATGTTTGTCATCGATGCTGAGCTGATGACTGGGACAGGAAATTAGTAAAGTACTAGTGCACAAGTTAAATTGCTTATTTTCTCTTAAATTATTGAAGATTTCAACCTTTTTGAGCCTCAAACAGGAATTTAAATGAAACCACTTCAGAAGATTGTGGCGCAAAAACGTAAAAGCGGAACATTTTGTTGTTGTAGTCGGTTGAGCTGCAGCATTTATCGAGCATCAGTGGATCACAGTTCATAAAGGAATGTGGATATTTTTGAAAATAACGAGCGGTAAGTAAGTAAAAGTAGAATTGTATTGTTGTTGCATGTCGAGGTGGAGCTACTTTAAATTAATTTATATAGTTTTAATTCATCAGAGAGGCTGCTCTAAAGGGTCACACATCTGAATCTTTGAAGTGATTCTACACACATTTATACGTTTTCAGCTCAGATTGCTGTCTTTCTTGTCAACTATTGGGGACTTGAACCTTTTTCTAACCTCAAACAGGAATCTAAATAAAACCATGTGAGGGACTTGTAGGAGTTTAGGCGCAAAATACCTCCTTAATGGACCAATTAGTCATTTCACTGTGTGACTGTGAAGTTCAAGATCACGTGAGACTCAATGCATTTTATTTAAGTCAAATCTGAATCTCAGCAGGAACCAGTAGAGCCGCTAAACGCACATAATGGTATAAAAAGTGCATTAATTGCCTCTGAAATGTTTGAGAGCGAAGCGCTGGAGTCGACGCACTCGGTTTTATTCTCCTCCGTGTGCACTAAACGGTCTGAGTTCATTATAAAGTGCTTTTCTGCTCAAAGCGCTTCACGGTGTTTTCCATTCACCACGGAGGAGCTTCAGGTTTTAACGTCTCGCCCAAGGACGCGCCGGCACGTTGAGGAGGAGGCCGGAGATCAAACCTCACAATCAGCCGACGGCCCACTTTAGCACCTGAGCCTCGTAGTGAGCGTCCTGACGGAAAGACGGCGCAAAATCCTCAATTTTGTACAAGTGTTTGCTCCAAAAAAAATCTGATTTGATTAGCGGAGGACGCCGGTGCATGCTGGGAGGTCAGAGAGGAACGACACACCGGCCCTGGAAGAAACCGAATGCAAGGCAGCTCAGAGGCGCAGAGATTAAAAACGGATGGAGAGCAAACCGCGAGCCTCTCCGTGTGAGTTTGATGCAACTACAAAACCGCCAAAACCAGACGAATGGTACAAATTAGAGAACGTAAAGCACATGTCAGACCGGGCAGTAAATTAGTTCAGACGCAGAGATCGTGTAGAGCGGCGATAAAACTCCAAAAAAAAAAAAAGATGCTTTCTTCTTTTGCGGTGCCAACACATTTAAATCTATAGCTCCCAAACTCACGCTGCGTATTTCACGTTGCTCCCAAACACATACGAGACGCTGACTTCCAGTAAGTCTTTTCCTTGGCAGCGCGATTTTTTCTTTTTTTTTTAAATGAACTTTACGAGTGAACAGAGCGCTCGGTCCCTTCGCCGAAACATATTTTCATGTGCGTGACTTTTCCAAATCTGGGCCTTTTATGAGTTTACTGTCAGACAAATTTAACACTGTTTCAAGAAGCAGGAGCAGAGCATCATCACGTCTCCCGGAGACTGTAAATCAAGTATGAGCATGAATAAGTGAATGAGCAGAGAGGAGGAAAAAAAAGCTCCGGACAAAGAGACGAGAGGAAAAAAAAAAAGACCAATAATCTCTCCCTGGCGGCGTTCCTATTTATAGGGGCCCAGTGTCGCTTCACATTAAGGTCAGGAGCAGAAGTCTGCTGCCCTCTTCTGGACAAACACAGTCTGGCTTCTTCATGATAATAGGATTCCTCAGTACTTCCCTGCACCTGCTGCACACGTTTATACGCTTAACTTTCACCAAAAGTGCACGTTTAGCTCTTGACACTCTCACACACACACACTGCTGCTGCGCTACCGGCCTCAAACATTAGCCGCACACTGAGATATAATGCAGTTAATTGGACCGTGCATTCACATATTCACACTCGCCTCGGGCTCTGGTCTCCTAAAGCTCGTACGCCTTCAAAGGAATGCGAACATGCGAGACTATTAATGTACAAAATCTCATTAAAGTTGCGATTCGTCATTAGGAGCTTCTGAGTAAAGCAATATTTGCGATATATGTGATCGCAGTGAAAGTTTAAAGGAACTTCGGAGTCCAAATATACCTTAAATATGCTGAAATAATTCTGCAAATAGGGCAGAAAACACGAGATGTTTCATGCAGATAACTTCTGAGTTATTCTCAGACGTGACTTTAATGACTAACGTGAGTCAACTTTGTTTTTTCTCGACTTCTCTCAATGCAGACATTGAAGATACCATAAAACATCCAATACCTACGTGGATTTTTTTTCTATTTTAAGCTAAAATATTGAAATAAAAGGCCTTCTAGGAATTTTAAAACGAAGTATATACATGTAAAAGTGATGAAAATGTTGAATTAGTCAACGATAATCAAATAAACAAGACTCAGGGCAGCGTGTTTAACATAGAAACGCTGCATAAAGCAACAGACACTCGTCGACATGCTGCATTTTAACATGTGATGTCGCTGCAACACACAGAAACACACATTTTACCTATGTTTTAAATGAAATAATACAATATGTTATAGACGTTTTTCCTAGTATTTGGATCCTTAAGTAAAAGCAGCAACGCTAGAGTGTAAAAATACTAAAATACAAGCAAAATTCTTGCATTAAAGACACTATTTTAGTAAAAAAAATTTAAGTATGAGCATCGAAAACACACTTAAAGTGCCTAAAGTGAATGTATTTATTATTCAAAATGACTAATTTCTCAATTATATACATTATATTATTGATTTATATATGAAGGATTAATTTATTAATGTGTAAATCACTTTAACATTGCAGCTGAAGCCTATTTTAATTACTTTATATAATGCTCGGTGACTTAATCTACAATAATATCGCATTATTTACAATTATTTTCATTGCTGATTGATGTTTGAATCATTTTCGATTAGTTGAAGGTCTCTAAAATGTCAGAAAATTGTGAAAAATGTCAATCGGTGTTCTTCGAATGTCTTCTTTTGTTTTTCAGTTTAATTGCAATAAAAAAGGAAAGAAACAAGAAAATACTCACATTTAAGAAGCTGGAATCGAATAATTTTGACGTTTTTGCCTCAAAAAGTTACTCAAATCGATCAATGGCTGCAGCTCTAATTACTTATGGAGCATGTTAATGATCTGAATCTTCAATTAAACTAGTAAATAAAGCTGTAAAATAAATGCTGGAGTGTAGAAAATATAAGATTTGCCTCCAAAATATAGTGGAATAGTAGTAAATGGTAGACGTACTCAAAAAACTGCACAGTACTCGAGTAAATGTACTTATTGCTGTTCCATTGTGATGATCTGAATGTAGCTGTCAGGTGATTTCTGCCTTTCTGACATCGCATCACCACTGAATGTTAAAAATAAGGTTGCATGTCACATCCATCTCTCCTGAGTTACGGTGTTTCTGCAGAACATTACGAAGCTGAGATGTTTCTGGATAAAACTTCATGATTTTATTCTAAATTCTATCACAGGTAGCACGTTCACCAGAAGCTCCTGGTTCTCTGAGTCCACAGTGACCTCTGACCTTCACATCAGCTCATCTCTGAGTCCGAGCCAAAGTTTGCAGCGATTCTGCAGAAAGTCCAGTCGAGCCGCTACGACGTGGAGCTTCAAGCACCGAGACGGAGGTGGAAATTAGGTCAGAGCGACCTTTGACAGAGAAAGTCCGATCAGTCCGAGCGGAGGTTTGTGCCAAAGTTGGAAGAAATTCCTTCGAGGCGTTCCTGAGATCTCATCCAAAATAGGAACGTCAGCCGGAGCAGCATCACTGTCACGTGATGCTCTGGTGCTGAATCATGATACAACACCAAATAAAAAGCCTCCTCTCTGGGTTATTGGTTTCATATCAGGATGCCGAATCTTTGTTTTCGCTGCCATCGATCCAAAGAGTGAAACCTCGCCGTTGCTTTCACTTGATCAATGTTTCAGCAGCCTCCGGTGTTGTGTGACGCAGCGTCGCTGCACGGGACCTGTATCGGCTTGCAAGCGCTGAAATAAATACCGCGGATTAAATTTTGGGATTTGAAGCTGCACCAGAACACGACTGCAGAAGAACAAGAGGAGAAAAAAACCCATTTCAGAAACAGGATTCTACTTTTATTTGGTACATTTTTTCTTTAACATTTGTTGTTTTTGTTTTTCTGCGGACTGTAACGTTCCTTCACTACGAGCAGAAACGTCGAGTAAAGAACTGAGCTTCTTCCAAGTCAAAACAAGTCGGCGTCCTAAATACAGCCTGTCTGTGCAGATTAACAGTAATCCACCTGCTCTTTAAATCTACCGCCCTTAATGAACCGCACAGACAACAGTTAATTAAAAAAAAAAAGGCAGGAGGATCCCACAGAGTACCGACTACTGAGCAGTAAAGTAAAAATCACTCAGTTCTTCACATCGTCTCAATAAAACCATCAACTAAAGTATTAAAAAAACACAAAACAGATATTGGATGTGATGCTTGGAGAAAAAAAAAAAAAAGCTGTACTTTGGGGTGACAGGATGAAAAGTACACTTACATTGAATCGACATTCAGTTCTTTGCAGAAACCGGTTTTAAAAAAAGAAGTAAAATGCATGAAGATGTGTTGCTACGGAGACGTGCAGCATGTCTTTGCATAAAAGCCCTTTACGGTGATGATGGAAGAAAGTTTACAGATTCCTCGCTAGTCGTCGGCTGGATCGATCCATCGCTTCTAAACGATGCAGGTTTAGCACACGTGTTGGTTGGAAACAGCGCCGACCTCCATCGTCTCTCCTGCTACACCTTAAAACTCTTTTATTATCATCACCCTCCTTTTATTACTGCTCCCTTCACATGTGGGAACGGAGGCGAGGACAGAACCGGGCCGCTGCTGGGTTTGGATTGCACTAAGGTTGCACAAGCTAATAAAGCGTGTGCAGTCTGCCTACAGGTCATGCTAATGCAACGTGTCCCCAGTGTTTCCACCAGAGCGGCTTCGGAGCCAGGACAGAAATACTCTAAAGTCAGACTGCAGGACTGCTGGCTCGCTCTCACACTGTCTGAACTCGGCCCAGACGGGACGCTCGCAGTGACACAAACCAGGACAAGAGACGTCCAAATATGGAAATGGTCAGATAAAAATAAGGGCTGCTTAACTCGCCCATCTCGAGCGGAGCGGCTAAATATAAAAACCTCGTGGTTTCTCGCCTCTAGCAGCGGGTCTCTTCACCGTTTCATTAAAGCGCTGTTCCGCCTGTTCCCTCTCGAGCCTCAGAAACCTCCAGAAAGAGGAAGCTACACGTGGGAGTGAAGCTGAATAAATACAGCAGCGTGTCATTACGTACAAAATAGCTCCAGCCTCGTCGTTCCCACGCCGACACCTGTCAGAAAACTCTACAGAAATAATACTCTACCGTTAAAACGTGTCTCTGGGGGGAAACCTGCGACTCAACAGAGGCCGCAAACAATCTCAACAGGACACTTTCCCGTCGCGCTCCCTCTCCACAGCGTCCGTCCTGGGCTCGGGTACCACGGCGGTATCCTCAGTGGGCTTCGTTTCAGAGGCCGACGGGCCGTGGATCCTCGCGGTTCTGCAGCCAAATCGGAGGCCCGACGCTCCGTGTGCTCTCAGCGGGTCCGCAGGGACTTTGGGAAGGAGGCGTCCTCGTCTGCCGTGTCAGTACTTGTTAATCCCGAAGATCCTTACGCCGTGCAGCTGCGGCAGCTTGGGGATGAGGACGGTGAGCAGGGACACGGTGTTCACCACGAAGTGGGCCCGGTCGTATTTGGTGTAGAAGCTGGTGAGGATGTACCTGAAGAGGAGAAGGAAGGTTGAGCAGCAGCTTCACTCCAAATCGACAACAGCTCAGTGTTAATGCTAACGAGCTCCAAGAAAAACCTCTGATGGCCTTTAACCCTGAATCCCAGCAGTTTCTAAATCACATTTTAACTCCTTTTTGAAGTCATTTTTCACTGTAATATAAAATCCTGCACCTCTATGGAAACAGAACAACCATAAATAGTCATACAGAGTGTCAGAAATGTCTTTTCTTAGTTAAATATCATTAGTATTTTCGAGAATTGGTACGATATCAGTGTTTTTCTGCTTATAGAATAACTTTGTGCATTATTTTTTTTTTTGTTGCAGCATTCAGAGGAATCTGTACGTTAACAGCAGTCATGCAGATTTCTTTTTTTTTTTTTTTAAATTTTACTTATTATGTTCCCTCTTAGCACTGTTGCCTCGCAGCAAGAAGGTTGCCAGTTCGCGTCCCAGTGGGGCTTCCTGCGTGGAGTCTCCATGTTCTCCCCGTGCAGCGTGGGTTCTCTCCGGGTTCTCCGGCTTCCTCCCATAGTCCAGAAACATGTTGAGGTTAATTGGTGATTGTAAATTGTCTGTAGGTGTGAATGTGAGTGTGCTTGGTTGTCTGTCTCTAAGTGTAGCCCTGTGATAGACTGGTTACCTGTCCAGGTGAACCTGCCTTCACCCTGAGTCAGCTGGGATAGACTCTAGCCCCCCTAGTGAGGATTAAGTGGTGTATAGATAATGGATGGATGTTCCCTCTTTTCTATGCACTGTAACACTGCAAATTCCCACATTGTTGAATCAATACAAGATTATTTCATCTCATCTTACAGCAAAGTCATAAAGCCACAGATCATTTCAAAAGAAGAAAAAAAAAGTTTCATATCTCTGAGTTGATTGAAGTGGCCACAGGTGTTCACAATGCTGGAAGAAAACTGTTCAGAGGATATTTTACTGCTTTTAGTTTTATTTTTTTAATTATTTTAACACTTCCTGCAGTTCAGCCCAAAAGTCCCAGAATTTTTGTCACGTGACTGTGAGTCACAGCCGGGTCGTTAAAAGCTTCCCAGATGTGACAGGAAGTGCAGAATTTTTTGCTTTTTAAAGTATCTGGTTAAAGCAAATTGTGTATTTTTGGCACATTTTTAAATGAAGCGTGTCAGAAAAGTGATGTTTTCACAGCAGCTCAGTTATTCGACTAAAACAACACTTCACAGACGACTTGTTCAAAAAAAGAAAGTTTAAAATCCGACAAGCCTGCCTCTGATAGATGGTTTAATTTTGCACTGTGTACAGACAGCATTGCGCGGTGGGTTTTGAGGTTTGGAGGGCTGAATGTGTGAGAACCTTTCACTCGTTTCCCTTCACATGATCACAGCGACATATTTCCAAACTCACTTAAACTGTGCCAACACTCGGATCCGTGGGACTGTTTTCAAATGTGCCAAGCAGCAGGATTACAACATCATTAGCGCGCCGAAATGCTAATGATAAAGCTCGTCTCTCCTCAGGGGGGGGAGAGTGACCGAGCAACAAACGCTCAGAGGTGCATCTGAAGGCGTCTCCCGGTCGTCGCTGCATCGAGTCTGGCAGACGATGAAGCGACGTCGCTCTGGAGCCGATTTGAGACGAGATGCGACTGCACACACCAGCAGAGTGGGATTTATGTGAGCAGAGGAGGAGGAACCGCACATCCTGTTCTCTGCCGAACAAGAAAAGTTCATGTAAAAATAAAAAGGCTCCCGGGAGACTTGTGCAGACGTGTGCTTTCTCCATCTGGAGCTGGGAGAGTGACCGCTCGTTTTCTGTTTGCAAAAACACAATGACAAAGGAAAAAAAGTACAGGCTACACCTGCAGAAACCGCTACCGCTGAGCAGGCAGACCAGCCCCAGGGAGCCCAGAGCTTCCTGTGAGCTGAACTCTGGTGGCTAATAAGGACTGAGAAGGCCAAAGAAAGCAGCGAGGGGCAGTTGCGCAACAATTAGAGGAGCAGGGAGTTGATCAATTCACCGCCTGAGAAAGTGCAAAACTAGAGCTACAAGGGGAGAACACTTTATACCAAGTGTGTGCAAGTCGAGTCTGAGCTGAAGGGACTCTTGTTAAGTTGAGTTGCACCACCGCAGAGACTCAGGTTTAACCCCTCGCAGTGCCGCTCAGGCCAATCAAGAGCACAATGGTGCCGCTTAATGAGGAGGGATCGGTTGTGGTCCTCCGTCTACACCTCCCCCAGACTCTCTGAACCACACGACCTGCTGGCAGCTCTAAAAAGCATGTTACCTTTATAAAACCATACATGTAGTCTGTATGTTGATGAATGTCATGATCTGAAGTTGAAACAGAAAAGAGATGTTCATGTTTTTACAGTTTCTGGCTCCAAATGGGGGGCATTTGGGTGATTTATTAAAAAAGAAAAAAAAGAAGAAGAAATGAAGTCTTTGAAGCTGCAGGTGAGTTTTGGGATTCAGAGGGTTAGAATGATATATAAGCTGTTACCAAGGTGCATTATGGGACTTATTGAAACCATGATTGTTAAGTCTTGATCTGTTGTGTCTCATTATGTTTTGTTTTTGTCGTTTAGTGTCTGTTTTTTGTCGTTTTGTGTCTCATTTGTGTCACTTTGTGTCTTGTTTTTGTTTTTTATGTCTGGTTTTTGTCATCTTGTTTCTCATTTATGTCACGTTGTGTCTCATTTGTGTCACTTTGTATCTTGTTTTTGTTGTTTTGTGTTTGGTTTTTGTCATCTTATTGCCCATTTGTGTCATTTTTCATCTTCTTTTTGTTGCTTAGTGTCTTTTTTTTGTCGTTTTGTGCCTCATTTGTGTCATGTTGCATCTCTATATATATATTTATACAATTTATTACCATTTATCTGAGCCAGAAACTGTGAATACATAAAGAATCGCTGGTCTTTCCATCAGTCCCTGAACTACTCATTTGTAATGTGTAGTTCTGGGTTTGCCTGTGTGTCTTTAAATATTTGCCAAAAATGAACCCTCCCCTCTGACCAGATTCTGTAAAAAACAAAAAATTCTGCGCTTCTTCGTACATCTGTGAAGCCATGAGTGATAGAGCTACAACCGACAGTCACGGTGCCAAAATGTTTAGAGTTTTCAGTTGAACTGCAGGCAGTGTTTACACAGAGCAGGTAGGAAACAAGGAAACTTCAGCATGTGGAGACACCTTTTGTTTTCCCAGCATTAGTAACATCTGTGGGAACTTGGAAAAATGCTGCACATGTTGATTCAAGTTTTTAAAAAAGAAATGTGACTTTTGTTTTATCTTATTTTATGATTTATTGAATTATAACTGTGCTACACTGAACAGAAGACACGTCCGAGTTCTCTCTGCTCATAGACACGGTTGTGTTGTTTCCATGCAGGACTTTAGATTCCGGCGAAGAACCTTTCAATACATCACTACCTATTAACTGGAGCTCAGATGCATCCTTAATGATCAGTATGCCCGTAACTGAGTGGAGCGTTTAGACTCACAGGACGATGGGTGTGATGGTGAGGAACTTGCGCGAGGCGGTGAACTGGACGCCGTAGTCCATCTGCTCCCAGTGCGTCAGGAGGCGAGCTTTGCCCTGGTCGGGCGTCTCGAAGGGCGTCCCTTTGACCGTGTGCAGCAGCAGGTACATGCACTGGAAACACAGCAGATAAAAACGTGGGTTAGGGGGGCTCTGTTGTCGCTCTTGATTTGCTTGCAGGAAGCCAACTAGCAAGCAAACTGCATGATGAACACACGACATGTCAAAATGTAAAACTCAATCAAGCTGAAAATAAAGTAGGAAATTAGATGTTGCAGTGTTGGGAAGATTTGGACGAGATAAACTGTTTTCTAAGTGATTTTGCACGTCGTAATTTTGCAGAAATTTAACTCATCATTACTACATGATCATGCATTTTAACTATGTGTGCCTTAAAAGCAACTCCGCCGCATTTAGTTTCAAATATTGTCCAAAGAAACAGTTCAAAATATGAGGATTTTTAAACCTGCCAGCCAAATGGAAGCCAGTATTTTCTATGTATTTTCCCTAAAAACTCTAATTTAAACAAAATTGCAATTAAATGAAGAAAAGAAAATGTTGCAGTTTGGGGAAGTTTGTACGAAATTTCAAATACTGTCGAGAAAAAAAAGTTCAAAATATGACAGCCAATCAGAATCCAGTATTTTCTGTATCTTCAGTGGAAACTCTCTGAACAAACTGCAAATAAATCAAGACAAGAGATGTTGCAGTTTTAGGGAGTTTGAGATAAAGAGAGCTGCTTTTGCATATTGTTATGCATCAAATACAGAAAATATTCTCGACGGGCATCCTTTTGACCAAGAGAAGCTACATGCACCACGATGAAAGAGATGAAACGACTGTAGGCACATATGAACAACAGATAAATGTGATACTGGAGGATGACTGAAGTGGTTTCGGGGCTCCGTCGTTCTTGATTTACTTGCAGGAAGCCCGTTAGTACGACGTGCTCGTGTGGGGATTAGCAGCACTTTCAAAACTGCATGATGAAACAGTGCATCTACCGAACGCGCTCGAGATCAAGCTGCAGTTAACGTCGCGCTCTTCCCAGAGAGCCAGACAGGCAGTTTATGATGCAAGACCGAGGAACATCTCGAGTCTGAATATTAAACGGCCGGTCGAAGCATCGCAGACACGACGTGTTAACAAAGAAGACGAGTTATCTCCGACTCAGTTGTCTCTCATTCAAACCCCCCTGTCGGCTCCTCGGCTGACCCGCCTCGCTCACCAGGTTGTGGATGAGGTTGGTGAGGGTCCAGACCACCGGCACGCTGGCGAACGGGATGCTGAGCAGGATGACGTGCAGGAGGCCGATGCCCAGGATGTAGGAGAGCCACATCCCCCTGCTGTTCATCACCCGGGTGTTGGGGTTCACCTCGCTGTGCGCCGTGCCCACGTTCATGACGGCGGCGGCGGGGAAACCTCCCTCTATCTTGCTGCTAAATCTGCAGCCGCTGCGTGAACCCGTGGGACTTCCTGTCTGCTGAAACAGAAACAAAGACGTTTACACGCATCAGTAAAAGTGCTCTGGCGGAAGGCAACTAAACTTCCCTTTTTTTGGTTCTTGAAGATGGTTTAAATTAAATCAGTTTGTCCTCCTCAGACCTGAGATTCACTCGTCTGTTCGGTATCTTGATGGAACCAAAAAAAAGGAAGTCGTGACGTGTTTCTAGAAGGTTATAGGCTCCAACTTCATGAGCTGAACTGAAAATGTTAATTAAACGACCAGCTTTCTTCTAACTGAAGCTAGAGTTGGGCAACAGGTCAAAATTACCGGATATCAGCTTTCATTGGCACGACAGTAACTATTAGCTACTGTTACAGCAACACATGTTCTTCCAGGGTCCACTGCTCGCTATGTAATCCTCTTATGTTGTGTATTTTTTCAAAAAATTCTAGTTTAATATCTCTAAATTTCAAAACCTCAAATTCAAACAAGCTGCAAATAAATTAAGAAAAGTTTTAGGGCAACTTTCACGTTACATCAAGTGTTTTCTGTGTGAGTTTGCACTTCATAATGTGTCAGAAACAGAAAGTTTTACTGATTATCACAACTACAAGGTCGTGTATTTTAACCATGTGTGCCTAAAAATCAATGACACAGTACTGAGTGTCAAATATTGTCCAAATGAAGCACAATATAGGATTTTTTTTACACGTCAGCCAATCAGAAATCCAATATTTTCAAAACCTACTGTGTGTGAATTTAAAAACTCGAGCAAGCTGCAATTTCATTAAGAAAGGAGAGTTTCGTATGTGATATTTGATTGAAATTGGGCTTTAAATCAGCTGAACTGCATCCGATGTGATTTTGCACATTACCATGTATATAATATAGAAAATATTCCACATTATTACAGATACAAGGTCATTTATTTGAATCATGTGTGACCTAAATGCAAGTATACAGTACTCAGTTTCAAATATTGCACAAAAAAAGCTCCAAATATGAGGATTTTTTTTTACACCTGCGAGACAATCAGAATCCAGTTTTTTCTATGCATGTTAAATATGCATTTAAATTAAAAGACATGTTGCAGTTTTGGGAAGTTTTGGACAAGATAAGTGGCTGAAGTGCACTTTCT